GATTAAATACAAGGTTGGTGTCAAATTATAGTTTATAAAAATCTAAGATAGGAATGTAAAATCGGTTTTCCTCTAAAATTAACCGTTCAGGTTTTACAGCCTGTCAAAGTTGCAAAAAGTCAATTTTGAATTGTCATTATTTCCAAAACAGTTGAACTTAGGTATAGGGTATATAACATGAAATCTGCTCAGAATTTTACGTAGAATCGAAATATGCAATCACATACAGGGTGTTCCATTTAAAATAGCGATGTTGCCACTAGTTTAGAGTAGAAGCGGCAACACCGCATAAACAAAAATATTTTTAAAGTGTAGATTATGGTCGTTTATCCCGGTTGCCAAATTTTCAAAATGATCCGCTTTTTAGTTCTCCCTAAACGTCTAATACGCCATCTACCGTGGGACACCCTGTACCGTGCGTTCAATTTATCTTGATAACATTTTAATTCACTGTTACTTTTTTGTTTTTGAAGATATCCAGTTAAACAAAAAAACAAAATGTAGGGTTAGTAGCCAAGTTTTTTTTCAAGTTACCTATAAAACAAAACACTATCAATTTTCTGACATATGACCCTATATTATATTTTTTTAAATGGAACACCCTGTATATTATACATATATGTGTTTGATAGGATATCTTATTCCGATTACAATGATATAACACACTTCATATTTCAGTCCACTCGTTTTTGAAAAATCGGCAAAAATATACCGGGTGGGGCACGAAAAACTTTCCACCCAGGTTTTCTCAGGTGTTAGGTGTTTAATCAAAAATCGCTAGGACACGTCAATTTTTGTTTTTCGGGGGACACATTTTATTGGTATTTTCACCCCCTACCTGTGAACCCCTAAGTGGAGGTGACAGGTACCCCCAAAATTTCAAATGGAAAGAGGGGTCGGGTGATATGTCATTTGGTAGCTATTTTCATTGAGATTATATCCCCGAAGTTTAAAGTTGCTACTATTAACCCTGCCGAAATGGCGGCATGTCAAAGTTAAGATAAATGCTTTTTTTGGATATCTAAGCTGTATAGTTTTTACCTGTCACACCTATGCGTGGGTAACAGGTAAAAACCACAAAGCATTTTTCCATTGATTTTTCCTAACTTTGACAAGCCGCCATTTCGACAGGGTAAATAGTAGCAACTTGAAACTTCGGGGATATAATCTTAATGAAAATAGCTATCAAATGACGTATCACTCGATCCCCCTTTTCATTTGAAATTTTGAGGGTACCTGTCACCCCCACTAAGGGGTTCACAGGTATGGGGTTAAAATACCAATTAAATGTATCCCCCAAAAAGCAAAAATTGACGTGTCTGAGCGATTTTTGATTAAACACCTAAAACCTGAGAAAACCTGGGTGGAAAGTTTTTCGTGCCCCACCCGGTATGAAACTTTTGAAGTGAAACTTTTAGGCGACGATCTGATATTTGGGGCGAGAATTGACCTATCTTTTTTTACCTTGACTGCGCGCGCAACTCGTGGGCTGCATCAGGTGATCGTCCAATTAGAAGCGAGTTTGTTACGGGCTTGCGTCATATTCCTATTCAGGGGCCAGTTCAGAAATAATCGTTCCTTCTTTCTTTGTAACGTATAATTCGACAAAGAGCAAACTAATATTTTACGTATTATTTCTGAACTCACTGCAGTGTTGTTTGAAATTATGTCAGATTATACTTGACATATTCCTTTGGACTTTCATTGTGCGATGTTGCCGGATGAAATATTTATCAAAATAAAAGTGCAAACGATGTAAATATACATTTTAAAGCTCTTCTTGTGTCTTATTTAAGGCATTGTAAAACACTTAACACTATCTATTCAGCCTTCTTCAGTCCATCTTTGGACATAGGCCTCCCCCAGTCTTCTCCATTCTTCTCTGTTTGTTACCATGTTCATCCTACTTAACGCTATATTACTTCTTTAATGTTATAATGTTTGATTTGTATTGTCTACATTTGTTCTGCAACAATACAAACTGGCTACACTGCAACCCACTAGTTGCGCGCGCATGTCATCTTTTATTACTTTCCAATTTGTATTTATTACAATTAAACTATCCTTTCCTATACTATGTGACAAAAAAAAAAAGCATCAGTCACTAAAAGTGTATATTTTTTAACAAATTTTCTACATATGTTAATGGTGTAAAAAATAACAATTATTGATTAAATGCTACTTTATTGTCACATGCTTTAATTAATTAAATTTTACTTTTAATAGCCCAAGCATATGTACAGAATTTGGTTAACAAATATTTATAGTTCTATGGGGTGATGCGTTTTTTTTGTCACAGTATATTTATGCGAGACAGGTTAATTATTGAGTGTGTATATAAAAACTTCATATTTTTGCTGATTTATCAAAAACGAGTGGACTAAAATATGAAGTGTGTTATATCATTGTAATCGGAATAAGATATTCAATCAAAAACATATATAATATACAGGGTGTTCCATTTAAAAAAATATAATGGAGGCTCATATGTCAAAAAATTGATAGTGTTTTGTTTTATAGGTAACTTGAAAAAAAACTTGGCTACTAACCCTACATTTTGTTTTTTTGTTTAACTTGATATCTTCAAAAACAAAAAAGTAACAGCGAATTAAAATGTTATCAAGATAAATTGAACGCACGGTACATATGGGCAATAGTCTATCTACGCGCCAAAAAAAAATACCGGCAGCCGTATAGTATTTTTATTCTGACTTGAAACACTGCATTATACGAGGATGTTTCAACATGATGTCGCTCTTCTTCTATTAATTTCTTAGAAAATCTATTGTAAGTTTTCCTGTACAAAATATAAGCAGCGATGAAATATCGCTAACAGTTTGTTGAAAATGGTGAATTCACAATTTAACGTTTTAATAAAAATACCTAAAAAAAAATTTTTGAACGACTTTTTGGTCAAAATTTGGGCGTGGCACCCAAAAAATTCCGCCTCCGGCGTGAGAATTCACCGTTTAACTGAAAAATTTTCAGAAGTGTTTTTTGAACGACTTCTGGGTCAAAATTTGGGCGTGGCACTCAAAAAAATAAAATAAAATCGCCTCCGGCGGAGAACCTGTAACAGTGGCGTATCCAGAGGTGATTTTCGGGGGGGGGGGGGGCACTTAACCTGAGAATGTGGTCATTTAGTAGCCGCCGGAGACTAATCGCCGAAGGCGAAAAATTTTAGGGTGCTTCGCATCTTTTTAGTGCCCTTTAACTTTATTTAATATCAATATTTGGTTGTATGTACAGGGTCATTCTTTATATTTTCCCACCCTCTTAACTTTTTTCTGCCACTGTGTATAGAAAAAATCTAAATAGGAAAAATCTAAATAGGAAAAATGTTTAGGTTGAAAAATAGTTTCCAGAAAACAGTTTTGTTCATACAGGGTGTTGCAGAAAGTTTAAAAGACAATTTTCTTTATTTTTTTTTATGGGTATATTGTATTGAATATTCGGATTCAACGTAAAACTCTGAGCAGATTTCATGTGACTTTTTTGCAAATTTGACAGGCTGTAAAACCTAAACGGTTAATTTTACAGCAAAACCGATTTTACATTCACATCTTAGATTTTCAAAAACTATCATTTGACACCAACTTTGAATTTAATCCATGATTGAAAATTTAGATTAAATTTAATTATATTCAATTCAATTCAATAATATACAGGGTGTCCCATTTGAAAAAAAAAATGCTTTTTAAACTTTCTGCAACACCCTGTATGAACAACACTATGTTTTCTGAGAACTATTTTTTAAGCTATACACCTTTCCTATTTACATTTTTGCTATACACAGTAACACAAAAAAGTTAAGGGGGGTGGGAAAATATAAAAAAATTACCCTGTGCCTAGGTATAAAATATCTATGTAGGTACCTGCTTTTTGCGAAGGAATATAGTATCACAGACTTATTCTAGAAAAAGAAACTCAATACATAGGTAAACATAGATATCAAAATTCAGAATTCTATACTGCATTAATCACAAAAATCAATAGCCGCTATCAGATTACAACCGAAAGGCAGTCAGAATCACCCAATCAGTTGAAATAATCTTAAAAGCCTGGGAGAAAATATTACTATTCAAAAGAATATATTTTTTATGCGTGCGGAGGACATTTTCTAGAGATTTTTTCACGACATGAAAAATTCTTGGTGGGTTGGGGGGGGTACTTTCCCCCAGAGCCCTCCCTGGATCCGCCACTGACCTGTAATGGGCCCGCGGAGATTTTGGCACACAGGCCCGGAGCTGGGTTGATACGCCACTGCCTTATAGTATGTATTTCCTATTGAACATCCTCTTCAATACCTTTACATTGTATCCCTGATGACACTGGCCTATAATAATCCTAAGATTGTTTTTGAAGAGGCTGAAAAAGCAACAATAATTATTTTATAACGTGACCATTAGAATAATAAATAAAATTTCCGAGAATCTTTTTTCAAAAGTAGTCATAAAAGCGAATCTAACCAAATGCAGATATCTATCTCGCCTAATTGGACGATTTTTTAAATGAAATTATGAGCAAATAGAAACCCATTATGGAGTAGGCAGCGGGTTGGGTTCGAGTGGGTGGGCCACTTGTTTGCCTACTTTCACAAGAGTGTGGGTTAAATTAATTAGTGCGGCAAAGTAACATTTTGCAAACTGATTGGAATTATCGATAGAGAACAGCAAAAATCCAATTATTGACATCTGAATTAATTTGTCCATTATAATCTGATTATGAAACAAACAAGATTGTCTCAAGATTGATTTCTGAAATCTAGAAGAAGACAAAAATGTGAAAAACTACAATTTTTGTTTGATTTATTTCGGCTTTGCCTGCCATAAGCAATTTTGTTTTATTCCTAAAGCGTAAGCATAGAGCGACGTCCAACTATAGTCATTTTTTTCTGTCTCTGTTGAACGCGATAATCGAACAAAATTGGCTCGTATTTTATCCCACTCGAAATTCTCGATAAGTTCCGAACGTGACTCGCAGTAGGTATTCGCGATTCAAGGAGAATTGGCTAGAAGCTTCGTTGCCCGATATAAAACAAAACCGGACAGCGAGCTTGTTTAGATAAATTTCAAAAAGCGAGCGGGAGAGACGTATTGTGTGAGTTCCTTTAGCGCGAATTTATTTGAATTGTTAAAGTGTTATTGATTAAAAATGTCTACAGTAGAGACTATAAGGGATATACCTGTTATTGTGCAACATATGAAAGTTTGTAGCGAACCTATGGATTTTGATGACGATTATTATGGTGTAAGTTTATTGCCAAACTTTAATAAATTCTGCGCAAAAGCTATACTAACTATTAAAATTTCATTTAAATTAATATTCCATTTTTTACTAGTCTGGTTTTCCTTTCGACAACACTGGTCGTCGTTCCAGAGACCCTCTGGAAGACATTGCCCAAAGACATCCAGAATTTGCCCAACACCTCCAAGGTTTCCCGAGGAGATCGCAACGTTCAGCCCCTGAACAAACCAACGACGAATTTTTAAGAAGACGCTTCGAAAGACCTTTTGCCAGCGGCAGATTCGAACGGTTCGGTTTTCCCTTTGACCGGGACGACTTCGAACGCGAACCTCAAAGGTACTACGAGGCCTATCCGGAGTACTTTGAAAATTTCCAAAATCAACAGCCTCAAAACCAAAACTCCTCGCCACAAGGTTATCAACAGCATCCGCCACAATACAGCCAACAATATCAACCTCAAGAAAATCAACCAGAGTATAAGAATCAAAGAAGAGTGAGTCAAGGCACTCAAACCGAAGAAGATAATCTTGCAGAACAACACCAGGAAGAGCAGAAAGCTGAAAGTGGACAAACAACAAGAGGTACTTAACCCATCAAAAAAACATTATTATTATTATGGTACAATAACAATGGTAAACAGTTCACACTGATGAAAGTTTATCGTCGTGTTTTTGAAAAGTTATTGTTCATAATGTATATCCACTTGAAATAATGCACTCATGTCGATGTCAACCTTATTCTTGAAAGAATTCAAATTCTGCGTGGTGACTGTAGAATTTAACAGGGTAGACAATTCGATTTGCTAGGAAGTTCCTTCTTGGAAGTTTGGCGGTTTTTTCCTTGCACAACTTTAAAGTATTACCTCGTAGAATAATCTTGTATGTCTCAATCAGATCTTCTCTCAGACGCCATTCTCTCAGAGAAGTGAGTCCTAAAGTGGATAGCCAAATAAGTTAATCTTCATTACGGAGTGATGTTGGAACCTTTGTTGCTCGTCTCTGCGCACGCTCTAGTATCTCAATAGCCTTTATGAGGTGTAAATTCGAATCTGAGTGATTTATTCCTAATGGTGTCACACGACTGGTCTTCAAAGGCCTTTTTCACAAGGTATATGTGGCTATTTTTGTTACATGCGTCTCCTATTTCAGATTATAGGTCACTATGACACCTAAATCCATTTGTTCTCTCACATGCTTCAGCTCAACATTGTTAATATTATAGACATATCAGTGATATTGGTCCCAATGCTCAAGGTTGTACATTTTTCTACGTTTAGCCTCATTTTCCAGGTATTGGATCATAGCTCTGAGATCTTCTTGCAATTTCTGTTGTTCTGCGGCCTTTGCATACAATTCCGCAAGGGGCAAACCACCTAGGAATTCTTTGCCAAAGATGTGGGAAATTTAGAGGAATTTGTGGGAAATTTAGAGGAATTTGTGGGGAATTTGAAGGAACTCATCGGAATTTATGAGAATCTGGGGAATTTATAGGGAATTTGAAGCAATTTATGAGGAATTTAAAAGAAATTGTAGAGTCATGACGTCACTGAGGTTCACATTCTTTTTATAAGAAACACTAATAAATGGAAATTTCAAAAAAAATCTAGTTTTGTGTTGAACGTTGGATATTCATTTTCATTGAAGAAATTCTCCCAAAATTTCACTTCATGATTTAAGTACTTACAGCTCCAAATTTAAAAAATTTAAATATAATGAGTACGGTTTTTGTAGGCTGATTTCCAAGATTCTTCATGTTGTTATTTTCGACTGGAAAAATTTGAAATTTTGTGAAAATGAGTTTCTAACCTTCCTCTTCACATGTAAAAAGTTTCAAATTTTTCCGCTCACTAGTTTTCCAGGAAAACTTTGAAATGTGTAAGACGATATTTTCAACTAATTCAGTTTTTGTAAGTTGATTTCCAAGATTCTTCATGTTGTTATTTTCCACTAGAAAAATTTAAAATTTTGGGAAAATAAACTTCTCACCTTCCTCTTTACATGCAAAATGTTTCAAAAATTTTCCCTCCGCTAGTTTTCCAGGAAAACTTTGAAATGTGTGAAACTCTATTTTCAACTAATTCAGTTTTTGTAGGTGGATTTCCAAGATTCTTCATGTTGCTGTTTTCCACTGGAAAAATTTGAAATTTTAGGAAAATGAGCTTTTCACCTCCCTCTCTCTCTACATGCAAAAAGTTTCAAAATTTCCCCCCCACTAGTTTTCCAGGAAAACTTTGAAATGTGTGAGACTGTGTTTTCAATTAATTCACTTATTGGAGGTTGATTCCCAAGATTCTTCATGTTGCTGTTTTCCACTGGAAAAATTTGAAATTTTAGGAAAATGAGCTTCTCACCTCCCTCTCTCTTTCCATGCAAAAAGTTTCAAAATTTCCCCCCCACTAGTTTTCCAGGAAAACTTTGAAATGTGTGAGACTGTGTTTTCAATTAATTCACTTATTGGAGGTTGATTCCCAAGATTCTTCATGTTGCTGTTTTCCACTGGAAAAATTTTAAATTTTGGGAAAATAAACTTCTCACCTTCCTCTTTACATACAAAATGTTTCAAAAATTTTCCCTCTGCTAGTTTTCCAGGAAAACTTTGAAATGTGTGAAACTCTATTTTCAACTAATTCAGTTTTTGTAGGTTGATTTCCAAGATTCTTCATGTTGCTGTTTTCCACTGGAAAAATTTGAAATTTTAGGAAAATGAGCTTTTCACCTCCCTCTCTCTCTACATGCAAAAAGTTTCAAAATTTTCCCTCCACTAGTTTTCCAGGAAAACTTTGAAATGTGTGAAACTCTATTTTCAACTAATTCAGTTTTTGTAGGTTGATTTCCAAGATTCTTCATGTTGCTGTTTTCCACTGGAAAAATTTGAAATTTTAGGAAAATGAGCTTCTCACCTTCCTCTTCACATGCAGAAAGTTTCAAAATTTTCCCTTCACTAATATTCCAGGAAAACTTTGAAATGTGTGAAACTGTATTTTCAATTAGTTCAGTTTTTGTGAGTTGATTTCCAAGATTCTTCATGTTGCTGTTTTCCACTGGAAAAATTTGAAATTTTGGAAAAATGAGCTTCTCACCTTCCTCTTTACATGCAAAAAGTTTCAAATTTTTCCCTCCACTAGTTTTCCAGGAAAACTTTTAAATATGTGAGACAGTATTTTTAATTATTTCAGTTATTGTAGGTTGATTTCCAAGATTCTTTATGTTGCTATTTTCCACTGGAAAAATTTGAAATTTTGGAAAAATGAGCTTCTCACCTTCCTCTTTACATGCAAAAAGAGCATGTTTAAATTGGAAAATAAAGGACATGTTTAAATTGGAAAGTTTCTTGGTAAATTGCAACGATCTCAATCGCTGCAACGATATTTTTTGGTCGCCATAGTTATACAGGGTGCGCCAAAAAAATCATTTTTTTGTATTGTTGTATTGTTTAAGGTTGGAATTTGCCAAGAAATTTTCCAACTTAAACATGCCCTTCATTTCCAATATCGGGAAAGTTATTGAGTGTTCCAGTTATAAACAAACACCCAGTACCAAATGGTTATTTCAATCTCAGAACTGCTACCCTGACTGTTCCTCATTAGTTTTTTGGATCTGCCCTGATCTTTATAATTTTTGGAATAGAGTTATAATATTTAATTTTAAGGTTGGACTCACCACCTTCGTTTAGAGCTTTTAGTTCCGCTACAATTACAACATTGTTTATTTTCAGGACGTCCCATCCAGCAAAGCAACACGTGCGATCTGACCCAACACCAACCCCCCGACGAATCGTTGAATGATCGCGAGCAACGCTCCATGTCAGCACCTCCTGAAAACAAAAGGTTCACTTCATCTGTAAACATCCCGATGGGGGTTCATTCGCCTGATGGTGCCGCAAGCCAGACTAATAGTGGCAGCACTGAAAGGGTCATCCCTATACACGTGGAAGGCCGTGACGATCCAGTGATACCAAAACAAGCTTCAGCTCAAACTCAAGCTGATAGTCCCAGGTCTCAACCTGAAACGATTTTTGGTCGTAGACCTGAGGCATTTAGTCAATTTGTCCATAGGGAGCCTCATAGGTTCAACAATGATTGGCAACATTCATTTGGAGGCTTTCCTGAAGAAGATTTTGGATTTTCTAGAAGTGAAAGTCCTAGTCGGTTTGCTGCTGGGGCTAAGCCTCAACAACCTCCTAGACAAGAGTCTCATCAACAGCAACAAGCTCCTAGGCAAGAGGCAAAACCTCAACAAGAACAATCAGAGCCTCCCAAGCAACAACAACAACCTTTGGGACCTATTGAGCAAATTCAAGCTATTCAAAAAGATGTTTCAACATTGCTAAGGCAAGTTGAAGCTTTCAATGGACTTCCTAGAGACAAAAACTATCTTTATTTGGACGAAATGTTAACAAGAAATCTATTAAAACTTGACAATGTAGATACTCAAGGACAAGACACTATTAGGAGTGCCAGAAAAGAAGCTATTAAGTGTATTGAAAGGGCTATAAGTCTTTTGGAGGCTAGAGCAGCGGCTAATGCAGCTCCTAAACAAGAAAATATGGAAGTAGATGAGCAGAAACCTCAAGAAAGTGAGGAAAAAAATGAAGCAGTTGCAGAAGTGTCGCAAGAGGCTAGTGGAGAAAGTGCAACCGAGCAGCCCAAAAGTGATGAAACTATGGAAAATGCTGAAGCAGAAGCTAAAAAAGAAGAAATAAATAGTGAAGAGCCAAAACCTGTAGAAGAAACACCAAAGGAGGAAACAGAAGTTCAAGTAGAGGACGAAAACAAGGAGAAAAGGAAAATCAAAAAGAAACAATAAGTTTAAAATTTAGACAAATTATTTTTCATTTTTAGGTATTTGAGCACTGGTGTTTCATTATTTTTGTTTATTGAATAAAGCCTTATTGTTGAGACACCAAATTTTGCTTGAATATAAAAAAAAAAACAGAGTATTTATGAGTGTTTCATTGCAGTACCATTTTTCTTACTGTATTGAGATTTTTTCACTAAAATTGCTAATTTAAAGGCCTTATTTGTTGAGCTTACTAGGCCTTCTAGTGAAAGACTGACTTTAACTTGTTCTTAACAGTCAGAGTTAGCTATTTTTTTAGTGGTAATTAACCATTGTATTAGCGAGTGAGTTGTTTTCCTTTTCTATTCTATTAATATTTATTTAAATAATTTGTAAATATTCATAATAAAACGAGTGAGTTTTATATTTTCAAATTACATATTTTGTGATTATGTAGTTTAGTTTTTCTCTTGTAATAATAATTTTGTAATTTGTGTTACCTACCATTTGTCTCTTGTTTTTTTTTAAATTTAACACACAAAAAATATTAAATAATTTCTTGTTTATAGTGTGTGTGTATCTCTGTTTTAGTTTATTTGTTGATTTTTCTTTTGTGTACAATGTTGTCGATTATACGATTATTTTTGTACGAAATAAAGTACGTATTTGAATAACTGTTTTTGTCTCCAAGTGGTCTATAATTTGGACTTTATTGTCTTGCGTGTGTAATTTATATTACTAGTACGGTTTGAGCTTCATTATAGTAACGAGTGGGGAATATTGCCCCGAGTTGTGGTAATTACAAAAAGGCTGTAATGAACGTTACCGTACGTGTGATATACAACATTTTATGTATGACCCAGATTTTTTTCAATAAAAATGAGTTACGGAATGAACTAATTACATCACTAGTAGGTACGATAATACAACTTATTACGTATCTCAAAGAGGCTCAAATGAGTTAGTTATGTAATAAGCTGGGAGGCCATCACACAGATGTTGGGAAATATCATGAGAATAAAAAAAGCTTCAAACGTAACAAAAATCAGCATTATGAAAAACAAAATAATGTTGACACCCTGGACTACATGAAGAAATACACGGGAAAATACACAGCAGATGTAATATGGGCCTAACAGTAAGTATATGCTTTGTTAATTTTCAATACATATAAGAATAGTAAAGTACTCGAGCTTTTTAGTTGGCCATATAAACAGGAGATGACTCTACATGTACAAATTTTCTTTTTTCTAATATTTAATAATAATTAAGTAATAATTTTGTGAATATAAAAATTAGATGATATTCTGAAACTATATTTTATAAATAATTATTCACATATTACAGTAATACGATAATATAGGTATATTCAACTAAAACAGAAAAAAAAATCAATAATATAGGTGTGGTCATGCATGTATGATAGTATGGTAAGATATTAATCAAAAACACAGGTACCTACTTAATTAATTAAAGTTTTTCTATGCTCAAACACTCAGTAACTGTGTAATTTTAAACCTAAATAAAAAAACTGAAACAATTACCAAAATTGTATGTTAAATATCAAATATTTTTTATTGAAAACAATAAGTATAGTTAGGTAACCATTAAAATTTAATAAATTTATATAAAAATAGAATAATTATACAAGAATAAATACTTTTTATATGGACATAATTTCCAGTCTTCCTGCTAACTCCCCTTTTTATGTAACTCGATTTTTCCAGTTAAAATGAGAGCTACAACTACAACAACTACAATAATCACCAGCAAGATTGCCAAACAAATCAGCCTGGTGATACAAGACAAACTAGAAATAAATTGAAATTGTTTCAAAATTATTATATCAATTTTATAAATACTTACGCGTCACACAAAAAACAACAACCCATATTTACTTCTGCTGGGTACTTAAATCACAAAATAAACAAACAAGACTGACCAGTAGTAGTAGGGTAACCTTGGCCTGAAACAAACAATTTATGGGAATAATAATTGTGAGAATATTATTGCTAATAATGAATAGTAGATAAATATACAAAAATATCTCGCTTCAATAAATCATATATGCGATATTTTATCTCTATACTTAATTATTAGAAACTTATCTTATGTGAATTTACCTCAAAAACAATTCCTGAAATAGTTTGAAAATCATCAATACGTCTAGCCTCTTATACACTTAAATCTACAATGAATTTGTCCTTCCTCTGAAAACTAACGGAAATTACCTTTATGTATACCTATTTTATGTACCTAGATACGTTCCACGAGAATTTAGAACTAGAGTTTCAGTATGGTAAATGATGGTTTGTTACTCTGGTAATGTAATTATTTTTATAATTATGATTGTATCAAAGTATTAATAAAGCTGCTAAATTAGTCCTCATAATAGTAAGTTATTAATTGGTGTAAAGTCCATATTATGTAATTGCATTGAACAACAAATTGATAAAACTATAAAAAATACACTGATAGCATTAAACAAACATGTATTGTTATGTACAGGAGGTATAAAATAGTCTGATTAGATTAGAGATATATTAATTCCGGGAAAACTTGTTAAGTCAGGTGCATTTAATCATTATTTATTTATTGAATTTCCAGATGTCGATTACTGAATCAAATTATACACAACATACTTTCAAATTATTGTCGAATCTTGCTTTGAAGCAAACTGAAGGGTGATTCGGACAGGATAAAACAGGGAATAAAAGCGTACTTTTATGCCCCGTTTCATTTAATCCCCATGAAATAAAGTGAAAATTTAATCCCAGGGAATTAAAGTGAAATTTAATCCCGGGGATTAAAAGACCCACTTTACTCCCTTAAAACAAGAGATTAAAAGGGTACCTACTTTTAATCCCTGAAGTGCATAAAATTGTTTTCCTCAGTTTTACCCTACTTGTAGTTTTTGTGTTATCTCAAATGGCACACCCTGTTAATTTTTATAGCAGTACTTTTTACTGTCCCTGTATGTTAAGAGTTTTATATCGACTATTAAAAACACAACAAATTCAATTCAAAAGTCATTTTTATTTAAATTAAAAAACAATCAACTTGTTTATTCCCAGTTGCTGCTTCCGCCCCAGTTGGGCAGTTGCTGAGTGGTGGCGGCCTCTTTAGCTACTTCAGCTGCCCAATCGTCAGTGGCAGGCTGTACAGGAGGGAACGCTGAAGCTGCAGCTGGAGTGGCAGCAACTGCAGGTTCGGCCCAGTCCTGGTCACCACCAGTGTTCCAGTCTAGGTCAGGAGCTTCATGTGGAACTGCAGCCTGTGAAAATATTAAGTTTAAATAATGTCATAAAGCAGGCAATAGGTATTATTGTTGCAAAGTTTTTTATAGCATTTTCATTACAACTGAAAATGTCATGGTAAAAATTTGCTAATTTGATTTAGTCCTAAGCGAAACTGTAAAATTTATTGAAATAGTTTTTACAGCATTAGAAAGGACAAATGGATTTAGGCTTATCTGGATAGTTACCTCAACTGGTTTGATGGCAGCAACTTCCTTGGCCGCTTGTTCTTCCTTTTCAGCTTCTTCTGGGTCACGGTAGAAGAACAAATCCACTACTACGTCCCATTTGGTTTCTCTGGCAATGAGACCTCTAAGACGGAGAACCTAAACAATAATTTATTTGTCATTGTATTTATCATTTGAGACTTTAATATTTAAGATTTTTTGCGGAAAAAAAAAAATCAGGTGGAAAAATTATTTGCATCACTGTTCAATCAAATTGACTGGAACGGTAAATTGGTATCATCATTTCAATATTAAAATAAATGTATAACAACTGTACTGTATTTTATTCTTACCTCACGTGCCAACAACCACCAAATCAACCCAATACTGTTGGGAGCTTTGTTGTTACAAGGGATGGAAATATCAACAAATCTCAAGGGGCTGTCAGTGTTGCAAAGGGCAATTACTGGAATGTTGACGTAAGAAGCTTCTGTGATTGGTTGATGATCAAAAGTGGGATCAGTGACAATCAAGAGCCTTGGTTCACGAAAAGCAGCTTGGATCTGATTGGTGAAAGCACCTATAATAAAACAAATTAATCAGTTTTTATAGGTTTTTTTGAATAATTCAATGGGTGTTTTGTCTCTGATCAGAACTAATAGAGTAAAATCACCAAAAATATCATAGGTTCCTTAGTTAGTAAGTGTCATCATTTTTTCTAATTCTAACAATAATTAACAGTCAAATGACTGAATTCTTACCAGGAGTGAATCTTCCAGCAATAGGTGTTGCTCCAGTGTGTGCTGCGAATTTAAGCACAGCCCTTTGTCCGTAAGGCCTGGACGAAATGACGAAAACTTCAGCGGGATGTTCGATGGCCACAATAGCCCTGGCGGCCAAAAGCAACTTTTCCCACGTTTTTCTCAAGTTCAAAATGTGAACACCGTCAGGTCGGCGCTTGTACACGTACTGTTCCATCTGGTAGTCCACGTTGGTGGTGCCCAGGTGGGTGCTGGCGGCCAACATTTTGGTGACATCTTCCTCTAGATTGAAAAATTGGGGCTCAGTTTTGAGGTTAGGATGCAAAGAATTTGTTTACCTTTGAGGCTGAGAACCTCTAATCCTCCCGACATCTTCACGTAAATTGGGGTAACGGTTTACCTATTAAAATTCCAGTAAAATTATCATGTTATTAGATGAATACAACACAAACAACCGGCCCTAATTTTATTGAACTTTTTACTATTTGCAAAAATTACTGAAACGCTTGATACAAATATCTTCTTAGACATATTTAGAATAATTTTATTCAAAGTTTTATTAAAAAACTAAAGAAATTTCCAAGATGTTTGAAGAATTTAAAAAACTTACGTTTACGAGATGCCACAGGGAGCTTTGATCTGTCAAAAAGAAATTTTCATGACGTTTACTTGAAAGGTAAACTTTTGACGCATTGTTGTCAGATTTCTATTCTTTTGACGCATGTTTGAAAATTATTGTTTCACAGTGTTGCCACATATCGTACATCGAAGGCGGAAAACTTATAAATTGAAAAATCAACACAAGTCATAAGGCCAAGAAGTAGATGTTTTTGTGCTGAGTTGCAATAATATCTTTTACTTTAAAACTTATTATTGGCCGAGTTCGTTTTTGTCATCTTTTTCGTCGATTTGCTCCGAAATTTTGACAGGCACGTGACTGGATGAGACAGTTCAGTTTATAAATCACGTGCCTGTCAAAATTTCGGAGCAAATCGACGAAAAAGACGACAAAAACAAACTCGGTAATTATTATATTATCACTGTTTTTTTCATTCATTTTCAGGAAAATAAACAGTTGCCACTATAAAATTACGACATAAGTATGCACCATATAGGGAAGGATAATACACACTACTACTACAGGATGGCCAATCCTCATAAGGCCTGTGTGTAACAAATCCCCCCTTCCACCCTCCTACCAAATCACCAGTTGTGACGTAGGCAGCATGTTATTTCTCACCTTGACCCAGGCTGTTTAAACAGCTGACGACTTAGTTATGACGTCGGAAATGGTAACACTCCAATATGGCGGAAATTACCAAAAACAAGGCCGATAAGCAATCCTGTAGGTGTGCATGTTCCTTGCCAATAGAGGTATCAGTGTTGCCAGATTTTGATTTTGAAATTATGGTACATGAAGGTCAAAATTATGCTATTTGAAAAAAAATTATGGTACACATTAATTTTTAGATAAACTTTATTAGAACTGTGACAGTGACATTTTTTTTATTGTGACGTGCTGTCTTTTGACGCGAGTGAGAGTGAGATAGAAAAGAACGTCAATGCCACTGCGGCTCGAAAACCGATCAACCGTCCACACAACCGGATTTATGACGTCACGCATAACTCTCAAACCTCGAAACAGCAAAAACATGAGAAAATAAAAGAAGATGTATTCTAAAGTTAAGTGTGAACCCCGAAGTGGGGGTAACAGGTACCCCCAAAATTTCAAATAGAAAGAGGGGTCGAGTGATATATCATTTGGTAGCCATTTTCATTGAGATTATATTCTTGAAGTTTTAAGTTGCTACTATTAACCCTGCCGAAATGGCGGCATGTCAAAGTTAGGATAAATGCTTTTTTTCGATTATACAACTCACTGTACAGTATTCCCATATGACACGAGAGGCTTAATAAGTGATAAGCCTTTTGGGATTATCGTGCTTGGTGGCAATATTGTCAATTTGTCATTAATGATTATAAAGATTGATAAAGTATTGAAGTTTAGTTCGTTGTATAACCTTTTGAATACCACTCGATGTTTCAGGATTACGTAATACTTTTACCTGACACTCAACGCGTTACCAGCAACACCACTCCTCCTTCGGAGTCGTGGTGTTGCTGCGTAATGCGTTTCGTGACAGGTAAAAGTATTATCCGGTAATCCTGAAACCTCTTGTGGTATTACATTCGATAATCTAAGCTGTATAGTTTTTACCTGTCACACCTATGCGTAGGTAACAGGTAAAAGCCACATAGCAATTTTCCATTGATTTTTCCTAACTTTGACAAGCCGCCATTTCGATAGGGTAAATAGTAGCAACTTGAAACTTTGGGGATATAATCTTAATGAAAATAGCTATCAAATGACGATCACTCGACCCCCCTTTTCATTTGAAATTTTGTGGCTACCTGTCACCCCCACTTAGGGGTTCACAGGTAGGGGATGAAAATACCAATAAAATGTGTCCCCCAAAAAACAAAAATTGACGTGTCTGAGCGATTTTTGATTAAACACCTAACATCTGAGAAAACCTGGGGTGCGTTCGAAGACGGCAATGCTAATGCCGAAATCTACTTTTCCCCCTCCACTGGTAATGCCGAACCACGTAGGTTGGAGCCGAACTCGAACGCAAAATGCCAATTTTGGCTTGGCTGTAGCCATTCCTGAACGCAGCCCTGGGTGGAAAGTTTTTCGTGCCCCACCCGGTATATCTGTTAGTACCCGTGGTGCATACAAACTTTTATGTCATATATACCAGTTGGTTGTGAATAATAAATACCTGGGAAAAAAATGTCACTTCGCAAATTGTCATCAGTGTGCAAACATCATCATTTTTTGACAAAAATAATATGTTTATGTCCGATTGACCAATAAAGTGCTATTTATAGAACAGTTTTGCGTCAATAAAGTAGCACTTTATTGTACTAGTAAAATAAAGTGCTACTTTATTTTACTAGTAAAATAAAGTGCTACTTTATTGCCTACCTGGACTACCTGACAAGGTGAAACAGGTAATGACAACCTGCCTGACAACCTGGCAAGGTATACCTAGGCGAATTTTACTTTTTTCATTAGATTTTTTTAATTTTTAACGAAAACCAGTCGTAATCGTACATAAAATCATGTATATAACGCTTACATAAACAGGCTTTATTGACTATCATTTAATAGCCTCGCTCGCAAGCTCGCTCGGCCATAAAATTATTCGTACAATAAAGCCTTACTTTATGTACTTGTTATATAAATAGCTATTATAAGCGTAAATTTATATTTTGTTAATAAAGAATAAGTTAATTGAAAACTGTTTTTTGCGTCTTTATGCCCGCGCGGGCCATAATGTGTAAGTAATGAATTATGTAGATGGTATCCAAGGTATAAAGACACAATAATGTATTGGTATTGTCAACTAGCTGCTAAGGAAAGGAGGACCCGGTATTTAACCTTATTAATTTAATTGCCGATTCGATCGGATGTTTATTGCAATTCAGCAATAAATTAATATAAATTGCGCCGCGAGCCGCAGCAAAGACAGACTTAAATCAGTGCAAGTACCTCTCGTTGGAAAAGCCCCACTGGAATTAAGTCTCCCCAGTGCAAGTACCTCTCGTTGGGAAAGCCCCTCTGGGTATCTTCAGCCTTATCGTTGTCCAGTGCAATTACCTCTCGTTGGGAACGCCCCTCTGGACAAGGCATAAGGGCGACGATAAACTAATCTACAGTCCCTCAAGCAGCGTTGACGTGTGGCCCCCTATAAGGACCCCAGTGTTCGAAGGGTCATGCATCTTCTAGGATTAGCGTACATGTAAGGGCATATTTGGGAAAATATATATCTATATTTTTATATAACCTGAGCGAGTTTCTCTCCATCAACCCCCAAAGCTACAAACCCCCCATGTTACCCCCATAAAGCGGGCAGTTGTGACAGTATGACATAAAGATACAAAGAAGTCAAAATTATGGTAAATTATGTATTATTACATTCGCGATTTTACTATGTATTTTTCTGCAAAATTATGGTACAAATACATAATTATGATACGCCTGACAACACTGAGAGGTATGCACATTCTGTGCAAGGATAATACACACTAGACACTACACACTACTAATATAGGAATAGGATAGCTTATCCTCATAAAACCCGTGTGGTGTAGATCAAATATCAAACCTCCAACAACGCCATAGAACCAGTCATGACGTAGGCAGCGTGTCGTTTCTCGCCTTGACGTAAAGTGTTTGCACCATAGGTTATGATTCCGCGGGCTTTTGCTTTATGCATACTTGGCTTGAAAACATTGATTAGCATTCTAAAACAACCTTTTTCTACTGACGTTTCATAATAGCAACTTTTCGATTGTCATTTCAGTTTTGAAACGACATTCTTTTAGGCACTGAGTGCGTGAAAGTTACTTTTAGGCACTCAGTGCGTAAAAGTGACTTTTGAATGCGTAAAAGTGACTTATGAGTGCGTAAAAGTAATTTTTAAGCACTAGTGCCTAAAAGTGTCATTCATTATTCAGAAATAAAAAACACACTAAACACATATTTGAATTTTGTTTTGTATTTATTATGAATATTGAAAATGGAATTACTGAATTGAACGTTTGGGTTACTCAAAACAGAAGTTTGTGTTATTACCTACTTTCTAGGATTTTAATTATTGATGTCGAATTTTGAAAAGAAAATCGCATGAAAAGTGTCAGGTGTCAAGTAAAAGCAGGTAACAAAGATTTTGGGTGTAATCGACTTATTCACATGAAATAAAATTGTGTTTTTTTATTATAAAATGCCAGTAGAAAAAATCTTGTATACAATACGTTACGAAACGATGTCTTTTAGTCACTCGACGTGTTGTCCAACTCGGCTTTGCCTCGTTGGACAATTTTCACGTCGCGTGCCTAAAAGACGCTCATTTCGTAACTTATTGTATAAATAGCTATTTTCTTAGCGCTGGCGCAAACAGCTGACAACTTAGTTAATGACGTTGGCAGAAGTGATACACCAATATGGCAACGATTACGAAAAACGATGCCGATAAGCAGTTAATGGGTAGCTAAAATCTGTTTTTTTTTAAAGATAATTCCCCAAGTCAAAAATTTAGTTACTATGTTGGCAACACAAGCCTTTTCTACATAAAAATTTGAAAGCTTTGACAATTTTACATTGTTTTGCCAACATAATGTCACTTTGACTTTTATTTTTAAAAAAAAAAACACATTTTAGATGACGCATCTGGTGTGCCCAATGAACTATAGCTAAAAACTGGAATGCGCACACATTGCCATATCTGCCAAAAAAATGAAGCCATGAAAGACAGATACCACAAGGGGGAATGTTGTTTTTTTCTGTTGCTCGCTGACATATGACGTTTTCGAAAGTTTTCTCATATTTCCCTTCACAGGTTTCATCAATTGGAATACGTGTTGGAAGCTATTTTCGCCATTTAACATAATGAGTGCGACAAAAACAGGTATCCCCTCAGCAGCAGCCGCACTAGGCTTCAAGTTCGTCCTTATGTGTTAGCATTCCAGTTTTTGGTTATAGTTCATTGGGTGTGCCTTATGGAAATTTGTATTATGTTGAGGCACCCCAGATGACACCATAAAGTTATCAGGCAACCTCTTCCCATTATATTTTGGGCCTGCGAGTGACGTCACTATCAGTCAAGGATGATACACACTACCTTAATGACCGTTTGCAGCGACCATTTTAAGAGTGGGTTAACGATAATCAACGTTTAAAATGACATTTGTACATGTAAAAATGTCACTTTAAGCGTTGATTATCGTTAAACCTCCCTTAAAATGGTCGGTGCAAACGGCCATAAGGATTGCTTATAGGCCTCGTATTTATCCAAGTCCAGTTGAAAAGGTCCTAGCATCCAAGTAAGTAGGGGCTGCCAACTTACTCGGACCAACTTATCATTCAAGTGCACTTGGGCCGTGTCAAGATGGCTTAACTTAGAGTGCGTTCGAAATCACCCTGGGTGTCACACCGAGTGCACACCAGCAATGAAAAATTCATGGCTGATGTGCACTCTGTGTGACGCCCAGGGTGATTTCGAACGCACTCTTAAGTTTTTGATTTGAAAAGTCTGTTGAAAATTTATTCTCCTGTGATTTCCATTTACAAATTCAGTAAACTGTGCCACTTATAAAATACATGAAGGTGGCGCTGGTTTCATATAAAATTTGTATTAATATACTACTCATTTAGGTATAATAAATAGGTACATACAATAATGTATCATGACAACATAGTTGAAAGGAGATGCCAAACCTATCCGTAAAACCCCTTTCAATTCCAGTGAGACAAGGTAGTGACAGCAAAAGAAGAAAATATTTAAAGATTTTCCTATGAACTTGGCAATGGTGCAATTGCGCAAGATAACCCTTTGAAATCTAGGCTTCCGGAAAATGCCTACAGGGGGCAAAAGAAAATTCATGCGCGAAAATTTGAAAAGTTTTAAAGGCAATACTAAAAAGAAAACAAATAATAATTCTTCTTGAATTTTTGTTTAAGAAACTGACTCGTTTAATAAAGCTAATTTTCCTTTATGTGGAAATTCCCAAAAACGAAGAAAATTCGAGGGGAATTAACAGCTTTCCCCCAGAATCTGTGGTGGGGAATTATTAGGGGGGAGGGATAAACATTTTCGATCAGATGGTTGAAGATCTAATGATGGAGAGTCGAGGATAAATTGAGGGTGAAAGGGCCAACAGAGGGATAAGATGGATGATAATGTAGGCTTTTAATGGAGAAAGTTAGGGCAATGGGTAAAAGGGTTGTGGTCAGGTATAAGATGAGATCATTATTAGCAAATTAATACTGGAAATTGTATTTTAATAGAAAATAGACCTATACAGGGTGATACAATAATTGTATATTTTAATAGCTACAAGAATTTAATGCCATTTAGTAATATAAATTACCTTATTTGAAATCAAAAATATATAGAAGTTGCAAAGTTTCAGAGTGTTTTTTGAAACAGAGCATTTCTTAGCCGACTCTATGAAACACCCTATAGATTAGTGGATGCGATGTTTGTCCTGAAAACTTCTGGAAAACAGCTCTATGAATATTTTTTCTATACAGAGTGTAGGCTTTTGAAAAGTTTTCGAACACCCCTTACAATGTTGAAACTGGGAAATTTTATAAACTAAATCATATCATCTATAACAATCTCAAACAAAGCAAAACCCTTTTCGAAACTGTTAAAAGGTCCACGACCCTTCTACGCCACTTTCCCCTCTATCAGAAGGACATTCGCATCCCCTCTACTCGAGTCCGAAATTTTCCGATTTTCCTTTGGAGGGCGCCGCGACGCCTCTGTCGATCGGTGCGTGCGCCCCTCCGCGCAATTTCTCCACACAATCGGTGGCGTTAGCCATTTTCCATCGAGGGGACACATTTCCTTGGGAAAATCGGTTTTGAGGTCGGGAATAACGCAAAGGAAAATCTAGAACTCTTTTGACTGTCGGTGATTTTACATGGTATTTTAGGTGCATTTTTCGATCAAAAAGTTTTCCCGAGCGTCCGGGTATAATAATATAAGTACGGCCATATTTGGATCGTTTTCGTTTTATTGTGTGCACTACATTTTTTTTGGACTAATTAAGGGATTATTCGAGTGCCAGGTGAGATGTTTTGCATTTAGAATTATAGTTGAAATTTGAACATAAACACGGAATTAATTCGAATAAAATGGCCTTCATCTGACTATCAGATCGGCCATTTTGGAAAATTCTCAAGTTTTTTCAATAAAAGGCGTTGTTTTTTGACGATATTTTACAGTCTCATCGAAAAATAACTTAAGATTCAGTAGCACAATCAAATTTATAGTTCTCTTGGAACTATTTGGTATGTTGTATTGTTATTTGGGTTAGAGGGTGTGTTGTTTTATTTCCGTGTTATGTTGTCGAGTGACCTTAAAAACATTCAGTGAAATTATTAATTTGAGCTTAAATTATTCACATAAATACATAAGTTGATGAGTGGTTGGGATACAGAACTTTTCTTTTAGGACAAGGAAACTGTCTGACTAAATATCAAATTTTCTGTTTTCTGTTATTTTTGTGCTTTATAATAGTACCTATTCAGATTGTCCGAAGAAGATACAGTATGTCGAAACATTGTAAAATGAATTATTGTCTTTGTTTGTCTCTTATTATTATTGTTTCAACTATAACAATCTATTCTTCTTCTTTCTTTTATCGCCTCGAGGGCTATCCTAGGAAATATCTTGTCTTACTCAGCAATTAGTTTTTGATAATCAAGACATTTTGACTTTTTTCAGTGATCATAGCATTCAAGCTCTAACGCTGAATTTTGATGTGAAAATTTTGCTTTTCACAAACTACATAATTTATGATGGTACAATAGACCTTTTATTGTTTTATAATTTATTGAACCATTATCACTATACAGGGTGTTACAAATTCGTGAGTTAGCATGGGGATCTCGATAATTAAAAGGGATAATCGGTTAAATTGGGGTAAAGTTACACAATCTCTTGCTCACTAAAATACCGTTTCGAAATTTGGAAAAATCCACTTTTTCTCCCCTACAATATAACATCAAATTTGATTTCCGACGTTTCGTCTTTGGGCCACCTTTTCTGAACTTTGAAAAAAAAATGAGATTTTATTTTTCGATTTCCATCAAAAGATGCCGGTGTAAACCCAGTCATTTCGATTGAGTTGAGTTGATACAGCAGAGCAGTTATGACCAATCAAGTCGATTATAGAAATTGCATTAGCTGCTATTGAGTGCGTTTACATCAGAACATTTGCTTACATGTATTTTCAAGATTTTTTTTTTAAAAAGGATAAATTTTCTATTTACCCAAAGTAGGGTTAAGGCAAGAGTTCAGGAATTTTTGGTTAATTGAAAATGTTCAACTTTGCGGCTCAATTGCTCGGAAAGTATTTGAGCTAGCAAACTCAATTTAGCACAGATTTATAGAGAATCCAATGCTCTTTTTAATAATATATGAATTTCTAACACCCTGTATAATTCTCTACTCCCTCACACCTCCAATCAGTGTCTTCAGTAATATATTCCTGTTTAACCATCTTGACTGGACTATTTCAATTTCTGATTTTTATCCCAAACAAAATTAATTAATTTTTGGGGGATATCTCTCCTCGCCTCTCCCAAACTCTTTATTTCGGTCGCGGTACAAAACGTTTAATAATTATGCCCAGAGAATCGGAGAGAGAGACTATTGTGTTTTAAATTATTCGAACGAAAGAAAGGGACGAAGAAAATTTTTAAATTAAATATAAAAGTTCGAATAGAATTTCAATTTGAAAGAAATGGCGTAATTTATGTAAATAGACTATTTAATTAACTTGAAGTAAAATAGTTTTTTTTTTAAGAACAAACTTTCTTTTATTGTATTTGCTTTTCCTAGGTGGTTCAGTCGGGATCTTATAAGTCTAATAATACATAAAAATCACACAAACAGTAAATCCGCTCATGACTTATGAAGTTTTTGCCAACCTAAGATCACAGTGTGCAGTCCTTTCTCGGGAATGTTATAGGAGTTTTGTCCAAAATACTGAAAATTACCTTTCTTCTAATTCAAAAACATTTTGGAATTTCTGTAATTTTAAACGCAATGCGCCTGAGATACCCAATCTACTCACTCTTGATAATAAAAGTGCTTTCATGCGGCCCACTTATTTGCAGATTATTTTTCCTCGGTCTACTCTGCCTGTAACCCACAATGTAATCAAAAGTTGCCATTGAATCATATTAATGGTCACAATTACCCATTTGCATATGTGACATATACACTGAGCTTATTAGCTTGAATCCTCACAAGGGTCTGGGTCCTGATAATATTCATCCTGTCTTTCTTAAAAACTGCCCCTTTATTCTCGTTAGGCCCTTACACATTATATTTAATAAATCTTTGGAAAGTGGAATTTTTCCCAAATTCTGGAAAACAAGTTTTGTCGTCCGAATACATAAATCTGAAGACAAGTCCAACATAAAAAATTACCGGCCCATTTGCATCATCAATACCATTCCAAAAATTTTTGATAATTAAAGACAAGGCAAAGAGTCTCTTGATTCTCCAAAGAAGACTTCCAAGATTTCTGAAATTTATGACTTAAAATTTAAATGTTTTGAAGATTCTAAAGCACAGAACTGAAGAATGAAACTTCAAGATCGAATTTGAAACATTCAACTTTATAATCACATGTCTCAATATACAAGAAGACCATAAAGACTCAACCAGGATAATTCGTCATCCATTACTCGTTGGAATGTTGCAGGGGCATTTTTTAATCCAAAGGGCGTTTGATTAAATCTGTAGTGTCTGTTTTCTATATTGAAATGCTGAAAAATAAATAATTCAGTCCCTTGATTCTCCAAAGAAGTCTTCCAAGATTTCTGAAATTCATGACTTAAAATTTAAATGCTTTGAAGATTCTAAAGCACAGAACTGAAGAGTGACACTTGAAGATTGAATATAATGCTTTCAACTTTAGAGTCCCATGTCTCATTATTCAATATTTGAGAAAGAAAACCATAAAGACTCAACCCGGATATTACGTCATCCATTACTCGTTGGAATGTTGCGGGGGCATTTTCTAATCCAAAGGGTGTTTGATTAAATCTGTAATGTCCGTTTTCTATATTAAAACGCCGAAAAAAAATTAAAGACTCAAGACAATCAGTCTCTTGATTCTACAAAGAAGACTTTCAAGATTTTTGAAATTCACGACTTAAAACTTAAATCTGTGAAGATTCAAAAGCACAAAACTGAAGAGTGGAAACTTAAGATTGACTATAAAGCATTTAACTTTAGAGTCTCATGTCTGATTATTCAAGATTTGAGAAAGGAGACAATAAAAACTCAACCCGGATATCCATTACTCGTTGGAATGTTGCAGGGGAATTTTTTAATCCAAACGGCGATTGATTGAATCTGTAATGTTCGTTTGCTATATTGAAACGCCGAAAAAAAAAATTAAAGACCCAAGACAATCACTATCTTGATTCTATAAAGAAGACTTCCAAGATATTTGAAATTCATGACTTAAAACTTGAATGCTTTGAAGATTCTAAAGCACAGAACTGAGGAGTGAAACTTCAAGATTGAATGTGAAACATTCAACTTTGGAGTCTCATGTCTGATTATTCAAGTTTTGTGAAAGAAGACTATAAAGAATAAAACCCTGATATTACGTCATCCATTACTCATTGGAATGTTGCAGGGGAATTTTTTAATCCAAACGGCGATTGCTTGAATTTGTAAGTCCTTTTTCTATATTAAAACGCCGAAAAAAAAAATTAAAGACCCAAGACAATCAGTCTCTTAATTCTTTAAAGAAGACTTCCAAGATATCTGAAATTCATGACTTAAAACTTGAATGCTTTGAAGATTCTAAAGCACAGAACTGAGGAGTGAAACTTCAAGATTGAATATGAAACATTCAACTTTGTAGTCTCATGTCTGATTATTCAAGTTTTGTGAAAGAAGACTATAAAGAATCAACCCTGATATTACGTCAGCGATTACTCATTGGAATGTTGCAGGGGAATTTTTTAATCCAAACGGCGATTGCTTGAATTTGTAAGTCCGTTGTCTATATTAAAACGCCGAAAAAAAAAATTAAAGACCCAAGACAATCAGTATCTTGATTCTTTAAAGAAGACTTCCAAGATATTTGAAATTCATGACTTAAAACTAGAATGCTTTGAAGATTCTAAAGCACAGAACTGAGGAGTGAAACTTCAAGATTGAATATGAAACATTCAACTTTGGAGTCCCATGTCTGATTATTCAAGATTTGAGAAAGAAGATCATAAAGAATCAACCCGGATATTACGTCATCCATTACTCGTTGGAATGTTGCAGGGGAATTTTTTAATCCAAAAGGCGTATAATCGAATCTGTAATGTCCGTTTTCTATATTGAAACGGTGAAAAAAAAATTAAAGACCCAAGAAAATCAGTTTCTTAATTCTCCAAAAAAGACTTCCAAGATACCTATCTGAAATTCATGACTTAAAATTTGAATGCTTTGAAGATTCTAAAGCACAGAACTGAGGAGTGAAACTTCAAGATTGAATATGAAGTTAAGTATCTAAGTTCACTGTACTATTGTTGCCCAGGATTGTTCATGAAAATTTTCAAGTGTGCATCCAACCAATGAAAAATTGTGCATATTCGTTTGAGATTGTGCACATGCTTAAATGTGACGTGAATGACGTAATTATTAGCGCCATCTCTTGGCAAAAAATTACAGTGATTCGCGATAAACCTTTTTACCAAGTGATGACAATGGAAGTAAGCCGCCCATTATGTGGCTCATGAGGATATAGGAAAATCGAAAATAGAAGTAAGCCACGTCCCCGCCGCCATTTTGGAAATCGCGACCATATTGTATAGCAACAATGGCGACGTCATCAACAAACATCAGCCGTTTGCGCCAGCAGTCATAGTTTAGAATATACAGTTAGGATGAAAAATATTATTTCATTTTAATTAACATAATAGGCAAAGCAAAGAGGAAGATGCCATCGAGATCTGAGAAAGCGTTGTTTATTGGCCGTTTGCACCGACCTAAATGCTTAAAGTGACATTTTTACATTGTACATATCACTTTAAGCGTTGATTA